GTCTTAATAGGCGCCTTCTTCTTCTTTACGGCCCCCTCAGATATTGGAACACAAGTCTTCAAAGTAGCCACGTTTGGAGACCCCCGTTTTAGGCAAACCGCCTCCCACCCACCGCCTGTGGGGAAACTCAACCACTTGCCAGAATAAAACCAGATTTACTTGCACGATTCTGGCGACGTGGGAGAGGCGAAGGGCCTTTGGCTTTTGCGCTCGGAGACGGAGCCCCCGCAGCCCCCAAGCAGACTTTATGGCTTGCTGTGGAGGAGGAGCAGGAAAAAAGGGAATTTTGGCAGGGAGACGCATTCACACACCCACACAGTGCACCACAACCACCACCAGGGAAGACCCGGGAGACCAGGCGGTCATGCGTACCCCTTTTTTTCTCACAACTGTTTTTATTAAAGTGTAAATATCCAGGCAACCCGCCAGCTGACCAGCCAAGCCACAGCCTGGCCCGTGACGAGAGGCAGGGGGTGACAGCTACAACATCCCACAGGAAGGGGGCAGAGGGGGCCCTGCCCAACCTCGAGCGGCTTCCCTTCCTCAAGAGGGAAGGATGCTCCAGGTTGGCCGGCCTCAACTCGGGACCCGGGACAAATACTACAGGCAGGAGAAAGAGGAGGAGGAGGAGGAAGTCGCCAGGACAGGGAGGGAGAAAGAAGCGTGGGATACTAGCCCCTTGGCTCCTGGTTGACAAATCCTTGGCTGTGGGCCTGGGGAGGGGGGGCTTCTCTCAGCCCACCTCCCCCACCCCCAGGAGGGAAAGAGGCAGCCCTTAGCAGCTTCCCGGAGCCTCTGCAACGGCAGGGCTGAGATGCAAAGGGATGATGGTCTCCCCCCATTCCCCTTGCAAGGGGTCCCCCAATTTCTTGGGGGGAGCTGAAGGAAAACCAGCAACTGCCCAGCCCCTCCAGGCCAAGGAGACTGGGAGAGGAAGGGTCACTATGCAACGGCTGGGGAGGAGGGAAGTGAGGGAGAAGAAGAAGAGGAGGAAGAAGAAGAAGCAGGGTGTGCGTTGTCGTTCGCATCTGTGTGTGTGCAGGGAAGAGAACCGCCAGCGAGGCCCCTCACTCCGCCTTCGCTTTTGCCGTCGGCAATTTGGACAGCATCCTGGGGAGAAAAAGAGAAAATTGAGCCAGCCAGAGGAGGAATCTGCTTTCCAAAGCTTTTTACCAAAGTTAACAGAGTTGGAAGGGACCTTGGAGGTCTTCTAGTCCAACCCCCTGCTCAAGCAGGAGACCCCGTGCCTGCAGTGTCCAACTTTGGCAGCTTTAAGACTTGTGGACTTCAACTCCCAGAATCCCCCAGCCAGCATAGCTATGCCATTCCAGGCAAATGGCTGTCCAGTCCCTTCTTAAAAGCCTGTTAAAAGCCTTAAAACAGTGTTTCTCAACCTTGGTGACTTGAAGTCCTGTGGACTTCAACTCCCAGAATCCCCCAGCCAGCATAGCTATGCCATTCCAGGCAAATGGCTGTCCAGTCCCTTCTTAAAAGCCTGTTAAAAGCCTTAAAACAGTGTTTCTCAACCTTGGCGACTTTAAGTCCTGTGGACTTCAACTCCCAGAATCCCCCAGCCAGCATAGCTATGCCATTCCAGGCAAATGGCTGTCCAGTCCCTTCTTAAAAGCCTGTTAAAAGCCTTAAAACAGTGTTTCTCAACCTTGGTGACTTGAAGTCCTGTGGACTTCAACTCCCAGAATCCCCCAGCCAGCATAGCTATGCCATTCCAGGCAAATGGCTGTCCAGTTCCTTCTTAAAAGCCTGTTAAAAGCCTTAAAACAGTGTTTCTCAACCTTGGTGACTTGAAGTCCTGTGGACTTCAACTCCCAGAATCCCCCAGCCAGCATAGCTATGCCATTCCAGGCAAATGGCTATCCAATCCCTTCTTAAAAGCCTGTTAAAAGCCTTAAAACAGTGTTTCTCAACCTTGGTGACTTG